ATCTTCACTCGTTTCAGAAACTACTGCCGTTGCTGATGAAATGATCTCGGAGCAAGAGCCGATGTTCCGTGCCGCACGAAAAGTAACACGGTTTGTGAAAACAAAATCATTCTTCTTCATATCAGCTGGATAGCTTTGCATATGCAAACGTCACTGGGCATGATAATCAGCAAGCATTTTACACTGGTATCCCACCCCTCCTCCCCGCCCCAGACTTTTTCAAACCCTATACCGATGTAAACGGGCAGAAGAGCAAGCTTTTGACAGCTAATGCCACTCCCAGCTCCAGATACTTTGGCAGTGCAGTGAGCTGGAAACTCTTTTCAGGCTTTTGCGGATTGTTGTGCCAGGGAGTCGAGAAAAGTTTCATCTATTCACACTTCACATTCCAGGGATAGGACGGGAGTGACTACGTGCCTCATGATGGCATGAGTTGCGTTTCCAATGGTAATTCCCATTTGAAGACCATTGTCTTGTGCTGTACAAAGACGTAACCACAACTGTCGCGAAGCGGCAATTCCCCAATAGGAGCTTAGCCGGTTGAAATGAAGTACGCCGCCACGCCTTCGCTACCTCCTAAACCTCGTGTGACATTACTTTCCTCAAGGAATTCTAGCCCCTCATCCTCATTGGTTCAGCCGTCGAGAAGGGTGCAGTCCTCATCGAAAGTACGGACGGCGCGTTCCAGCGACTACTGCGCATTTCCGTGCCAGCTTCCCTTTTAATGCATACGAAGGTCTCTGTGTCTCTTCCGTCTGAGTCATTGTGGCCCGTTGACAGCCACGCCCCTAGCTAACCTTCAGAAATGGACACTGAATGCCACCAACAACCATCGACCAACAATCATTAGATCTGGATGAGGGTGCAGTTTGGCTTGGAGGGGTACCAGATGGGTCTCATCTAAGCTTGTACGGGCCACATTGTAGAGATCTGTAAAGTCCTGTGACCAAAGTGGCTAACTTGAACAGTTTCGCGGCTTCACCAGTCGGCAGGAGCTTACGAGTCTGACTGAAGTGAGATGTACCAGCAAACGTGAAGCAACAAAAGGGACTAGCGAAGGTGCAAAATGTCCCCTCCAATCCGAACCGCCGTTGTGATGAGTGTGAATGCTCAGATGAAGTGGACATACACCCCAGATAGCAAGCGGAAAGATTCTACAGAGTTTTTTTCAGGAAGAAAGCTGCTTTTCAACTGATGGTTCTCAGCATATGCATGTTCGTAATATTGATTTGTCAACTTATCTTCATAAGATTGTTACGAGATGCTCATCGAAGGCAATATGAATACTATGTGAGCATGACTTTGAGCGATTCGAAAAGGGAAAGTGGTGGGAGTAAAACTGTGAAAAGATCGGCAAAGGGTGCTCCCGGCTCAATGAAGAAATTTGTCGGAAGTTCAAAGAAGATGAAGAAAAACGATACGAAAAAGGTCGCTGCTCAAACACTCTCAGCTGAAAAAGGTGCATCACAAGAGAAAAGGGAAGCAACGAAAACGATGAAGAAAGGCGAAGAATCCAAACTTGCTCCATTCCAATGGAATACTCCCCCAAAATCACAGTCAGAAGAAGAACCTGTCACTGATCTCTATAATGCATCAAACCAGGATATTCAGAAAGTTGACAAGAAAAAGAAGCCGAAAAAGTGATCATTTCTCTGCCTCCTTTCGCTGTTTATGAATCAGTATAGATGTTTGTTTTGATTACTGGACATCCTCTGCATAATTTATGACATAAATAAAAGATTTTCGTCGGAATACTTCCGTAGAATAAAGTGGCAGTGCGAGTCCGGAATAGTTTTAAAAGACTGAACCGAGCACGTCCTTCTTCAAAAACTCCATCATGACTTCAGCCAAATTTTTATCGAACTCTTATCCCTCCGAAGTTTTAACCAGACTTCGGAAAAAGAGGTTCGTTTACAGTAAACAGAGCCAAGGGTGCTAGCACACTCAGCAACACAGAAATCAACCCCTACCCCAGTTGATGGATCTGTCGTATGGAAGGCACACAAGCGTTAGGTTGGCGGGAAAGTCGTGTCATATCAGCATTATAGCATAGCTACGTTTCCTGTTGAGTCACATTCATACTTCGCGGCAGCGTCCACCAGCGTTCACCAGCGACCATGAGCGTCTAGAGGGACAAGGAAAATATGGATATTGATCTAGCATCTACCATCGTCCGCCAGCTACCACGAATAGAGAGTGTGAGGGAGTATGAGGGTAGGAACAGACAGCTGGATTAGGCGTATGATATTGTGGCGTGTTCAACAGCACCACACTACTACACAATACCGTACTCCTGCTCGCTGGTGGACGCTGGTAGACGCTAGATCGCTGGTAGACGCTACATCCATACTTTTCTAGAGGCTTGAGACGCTGATGGTCGCTGGCGGAAGCTGGTGGACTATGGTAAACCTGCCGAAGTATGAACGCAGCCTTAAAAATGAATGCCAACGTCGGGTTTTGTTTTTTGACGTGTCTTTGACCTCACGCTAAAGGGGAATCTTGTACAGTACACTATCAGCAAAGTCAAGATACGTCATTCAAGAGTTACGTCACGTTAGTTGCCTGTCTTTTATTTGTTAACAGTACCCGCTGTACTGCGCACCCACCCTATAGCAGCGCCAGTATAGAGCAGTACTGAGGCATTGTTCAGCAGAAGCAATCACTTCGGTTTTTCATCAGAAAAGTGGTGGTAGTGCCCGCACAGGAGATTATCAAGTTAGCTCCGTATCTTCACACCTATCAACTATCCGCGCTACAAAATCCGGCGCAGTTCGGCGACGGGGGGCATTTTGCACTTTCGCTGCTTCACTAGTTCCGGTTTACAAGTCTCACTCTGGTGAAACCTGTGAACTTTTGTAAAGCTGGAAGAAGCTCGTCGAGCCATAGTAAAACCTGTCACTCAAGAAAAGGCTCCCCAGATGGATCGACTTTCGATGCGAAGCAGCATAAGTGCAAAATGCCCCTGAAGTGTCCCCAAGTTTCTTTTTCCGGCCACCTGACTTGCCAGATTCTGCTCCTTTCGTACCACCAGATCAATAGAAAACGTCATGATCCCATTAAATTTAGGCCTAATTGGTCCCAACCAACTCCAAAATGAGGTGCACAGACGTTGCCAGGGCGCAAAAGAGGCGTTGCCACGAACTCAGTTGTGAACGCAGAGTTGGACACTAAAACTCCAAACGACAAAGATAGAATGATAGACGGTTACAGCTTGTGTGCCAAATGGCACACAAAATCAAAGCAAAAGCACGACAGTGCTGGTGTATATGGTGATCAATGCGCATATGCAGACACGACCAGACATCGTGGCGTGTCACAAAACAACATGGCTTCGCGGGAACTCCCCTCTCCGCGCTTCAGATATCGTCGCTCACTGTAGACCGTGAACCCATTCTAAACCAATAGAAAACAACTATCTTATTACGAAGCCCATGGCTTACGTCTACATTAAGAGCAATTGTGATTGTGTGATTCTTGTTTTCAATAGGACTTCAAGAAGATTTAGGTCAATCTTGCTCTGAGAACCAGAGCGACCAGGCCTATTACGCGATACATGAAAATGAAGAATATCAGCAGCAGCATATTCACTATCAACGAACCCTCCATACCACGCTTGTGCAACAGTCCTGCAAAAAATACACTCTAGTTCGCTACGGACGACTGGGCGTGTCAGGCAGTATGATTATGTCACCTCATCAGGCGGCTTTTGTTTGTTAAAGCGCGCCATCCGCGCGAAAAAAAGTGCAGAAACGAGTAATACAAACGATATTATACAGTCATATCATCACTCGCTCTAACAACTGGTGAAGAACGAGTTTGGCACCGCGCCAAACCCGTTCTTCACCAGTTGTTAGAGGGTCCCGTTGTTAAAACCAAACTCTCCAACCGTCCGCAACAATAGAAAGCAACTATTTATTCACACTATACAGGGGGCCAAAAGAAAGTCACTTCGACCGAGTCACATATCAGCAAAGTTTTCGCAGCCCAGACAGAGGACGTGGATACGAGTACCAGGGCGGAAGATACCCAAGATGTTCCTCTATAAGCAGGAGCTGGCTCTCGCCCATCACCTTCATGTACACCAAAATATGAAGTCATCTCCAGTCGCAGCCTGACTGAAGACCTTTGGAATTCATGTCACCTCCAAACTGCGAAACTTCTAGTGTGGAGTCACCCATGGGTAGCTACCTGGAGACCAGTACTCTCAATCTGGAAGAACCTCGCAACATCGGCGCTCCCGACACGTCCGCTACCGGTCCTACGGAGAATCATCATCTTCACGGCAGTCGCCAATGGCGCGGGTTGATGGTATGGGCGGACGATGATGGAAAGACCAATATTTTTCTTCGTGGACCCCGGACTGAAGGTGAGCGCTGGCGGTTACATTGGGCAACTCGTGAAGAATATCCTCCTCACATGTCGTCGCCCGTACCTTCTTGGAAACTTTGTACTGCTACAGCATTGGGTGCCACCACATGGAATCGAAGGGCATTGGAGAAACTCTCGCCTACTTGGAATGGAAGGGGGCTGAGTACCTAAAGAAGATGGAATATCCAAGTAGGTCACCTGACCTGAATCCCCTCAATTACCCGGTTCGGGCGGAGTTCAATAGGGTGGTCTACGGTGGCGGAGAAATCGACTATCTCGCTGATCTCAGGCACCACATCGCGGTCGCGTGCCAGAATCTTTCGATGGCGCTCGTCCAGAAGGCTGTGGCGGAGTGTCATGATAGTATTTGATATGCTCTTTAATATGGTGGTAAAATGTCCGATCAGAATTTAATAAAGTGTAACTTATAGCGCCTCGAAAGTCAATGAAGAAAAGTGACTTTTTTTGCCCCCCCCCTGTATATTCTGTTTAAGTCAAGGAGTGCCAAAAAAATGCAGCTGTTGTAGATGACTTGTTTGGTGAAATAAGTGCGTCCGTAACTTTACCCACCTAATCCAGTCTCGCTCGGACAATAAACTGTGTTATTACCATGGCTGAGCAATCCAGTACATCCTTTTATATAAGTGATCTGAAGCAGTTTCACCAAGTTTTGCTCGTGTTTAATTGCGTCGTTACTGGGAAAAGTGCTAAAGTAAGAGTCAGTGCAGGGAGCCCCACCAAAAAACAGCTCTATGTTAGTCCTGCGGGGTTTGAGTAATCACTTGAGGCGACAAGGACCTAGAGCAGGAAGCTGTAGACGTCTTGAGAGAGTAGAGGAGAATAGAAGGGCACACTTTGCTCAACCACACAAAGTCTGTCATCGATCGGGTATGTGACAAGAGAGTGGCAATACGCCGTACTAGTTTGCGTCGCGTGCGACTTCGCGCCTCCAAATGACGATGGTTCCAGGTAGTAGATGGCGGCAACAGGCAATTCAGAGCCGAAAATAGTCATGAATGTCTGCGATGACGGGGTCTACATGAAGTCCCGTGCTCCAGTCGACAGGTTCACGAGTTAAGAAAACGTTGCGCCCATCGCCGCGCGCGGCGGAGCGGCGAATACGATTTCTTGGCCCGTCTCTCCTCATCGATCGGCGCCGGTCCGCTAATGTTTCAAAAAGCATAGAAGAATCAAGAGGATACCAGGAATTAATATGACAATGCAACGCGTACCCCCCCCATGCTCCCATACTCTGTGTGGGGCTGATAAAAACGATAGATACCCGCTATGACCGTCTGTAGCAGTGGAGCGCGATTGCAATGGTACCGTGTTACGGCGCGTCGACACGTGTCATCGCTAAGTCTAAACGCCGCCTCACAAGGACACAGACAAGAGCCGCTGTCCCCCCAGTAGTCACAGTCGTATAGCTGCTGGCTACCAATAAGGAGATCTTAGCGTGTTCCTTTCTTCACCATCAGTCCTAAAACGACTTCAGGAATTCATTCTGTAAGTTAACCCACCTCCGTCCATTGGTTGATTTGCAATGCTTCAAAGCTGTACTTGAAGAAAGAGAGTGCGCAGATAATGGTCGCATCCACATGGGTACACTGTGGAGGTTGATGTAAAAACCACCAAAAACCAGTAGAGCTTGCATAAATGCCGACATAACAGTAATGGCTAGACCTTCATCGCCGAACACGCAACCGGACGCGTACCCTAAAGCGATTGCTTCGTCAAAGAAGACAATTTGAGAAGAAAATATTGCTATACTAAATAGTGATACCAGTGAAATTGATTTGAAGCGCATACAGCCACTTACTACTGCAGTCTGTGGTGCGATGTTTGCGAAGGGATGGCTTTTAGCGAAGCGCCAGCCCATTCTCCACCGATCGTCATCGCTTCGGTTTTTCGATGATTGGTGGGAAAAGAGTTGGCGCCGCATCAAAACCCATCCTCTGCTGATACCGTAGAGACTGACTGTTGGCTGTATGAGCTGTTTTGAACGCGAGTCTGAAAACAGGAAGTTGTGCTCAGAATGTGTACCTTGGGCGAAGTCGCTTTTGGTGGGGCGGGGGGGGGGTGCACCCCTGCACATACGACGACCGTCAGTTACTGACATTAGTTCACTGTGCTGATGGCTGACGCAATTCACTTCATATATCAATGAAGTCGGCCTGGTCGGGAGGGACAGTCTCGCACTTCTGCTATCTTCTCAATAGTCACTTGGATGAATTACACGACATGCTTTGAGCGGGACGTACACACTACAACAAATGTAAGCGAAGCTCATGCTACTTCACAGAGCTTGAATTAGCGTAGGGGGTCTCTTTAGGAGAAGTGGTAGTGATCGATGGGAAGCAGCAAATGCCCCCACCAAGTCGAACTGCCCCAAACTCTTTTACTAGGATATGTAGTTTTAGGTTCACTTTCACCAATACCAGTAGTCTTTGTAGACAAACCAAATTGTTTGAATGCCTTACCGATTGAAATGGCATTCAATGACTGGCACACGTTAACAAAGGTGAAGATCAAAAACTGGCGTGCTGTTTCCGAAAGACCTGCAACTTTTTCGGTAACAGTATCTTTTCTGGTATTATGAAGTGGTTACCAAACTCACCTGTCATCCAGTAAAGAATGGCTGAATAGATACATGGTAGCAAGATGTACTGTGGCACCTGGAAAATTCTCAAGGAAATCATCTGACCATTCAAACTTCAACAGTATTGCTTACGAACTTCTGCAAGGGATTTAGAAATAAAATAGGCTTCTGCCGAATAGATTCGCGCTTTGCACTCCCTCATGAACAACGGCAACTCACTAGTGATTACCTAGAATCGAAAGGAGTATAGGATATTTGGGGCAGTTCGGCGGGGGAAGGGAAGTTCTGCACTTTCGCTGCTTCCCATGGTCGCATTCATTGATTTACAGAGGCTAGTGGGTATTCCCTGCAAAAGCAGACAAGTAATTTCTCAAACTTTGACAGGTATCACTTCATGGCCTTACAAGATTTTCAATCCTTTCTTGATGGCTGAACACGACAATGTGTTGTAACAAAAGTGCAAAATCCCCCCCCCCTCCTGGCCAAATTGCGCCGAAAGTCTTCTTAGTTTACATCTTGTGACAAATGAATGAGCCTTACATTAATCGAAGGATAGAAGAATAGAAAGGACATGTCACGGACGCAGTTGTACATGACTCCTTCGAGATTCTGTATCGACGGTCCGAATACTTCAGTTTGGAAATTGACGACTCCAATGGCAACTGATGTGATCTGCAAGCATAACAAGTATCAAAGGGTGTAGGTCTAGAATGGACCTCTCCCTCCGAAACTAAAAGTAGAACGGACACGCTAATGACGAAGAAGCAAAGGTTTAGCTGGCTCATGAAAGAGTAAAAACGCCTTCAAAAGCTTAGCCCGCTTTCACCTAATGCGCAGAAGCCCAATGTTCGACACGTCGCGTCGTCAGCAATCGAAAAGCACGTGACTGGGTCCACGAGAACGCCACGGCTCTGTCACGGTACGGACTCTCCGCCCCCGACTTAGCTCTCCACCTTCAACCTTCTGGTCCATTCGTTGCATAGTGGTGGGGTGCGATCATTTTTGCACCCTCTCGTCATCCCATCTTATGTTCCTCTGTTCCACGCTCAGTGTCTCTTCGTCGTGTGTTCATATCTTTGGATCGAACTTCATCGCGACCATGTCACTAACGGTAGAGCTAAGTTAATAGGTGCCGAGGTCCCATAGCGAGCATCATCTGTTTATTGTGTGCAGAGCAACAGCTTTGTGAGCAATGGGAGACGGTAAAGAGGATCGTAATTCGCCGCACCGCCACGCGCGGCGATGGGCGCGGCGTTTTCATAACTCGTTTAACCTGTCGAATGGAGCACCGGACTTCATGTAGACCCCGTCATCGTAGACAGTCATTACTGTTTTCGGTCCTTAATTGCATGTTGTCGCCATCTACTACCTGGAACCATCGTCCTTTGCAGACGAGACGTCGCACGCGACGCCCAGCAGCGCGGCGAATTACGATCCTCTTGTCACATACCCCTGAGCAAGTGATAAAGGCGCAAGCGAGAAGCGCTCTCGGCTTTGATAGGCATGACGGGCAGTGCGGCGTTTTGCGTGTTTTGTCTGCGGTTGAGCGTTCTAAAGGCATTCTGCGGTGTCATTTTCACGCACCTTGAATGATGAAAGAGGGACATTTCTACAGTTGCGGACCCGTATACACTCGAAATCCCGTGTGATGGGGTGGGCGTGGCTGCGTACCTCATCTGAACTTAGCGGTAGCTGTGCTTTAGCAGACTTTTCAACTTGACACAGCTGTGGTCTTATCTCTGTTCAACACGGAACAAGATGACTCTCGGACTGAAATATCCTACGAGTAACCCATTCCATGCTACGTTCAGAGGCCACGCCTACCCCATCTCAGGAGTAAAGAATATACCTCGATAACGGCGAGGGGCAGGGACCATGGCTATATTAACGTCTTGTATAAATTACTACTTACCACTACTTGCAGCAGTCGAACCTGCATCAAGACTGGGTCCCTAATCGTAGTAAGAAAGGCTCGACGAAATAGTATGTTCATCTGAGTCCACGAGGAAACAGCGTACCTAAAATCCTTGAAGATTCAAATTAGAAATTTGCTGATGAAAAAATCGGCCAGAAATTGCATGAATAATCATTGAGCCTGAGCGCAGATCATTGTCTCTGGAATTTCAGCGTTCGTTCCACGTGTGCGACCATCCTACCCTTTCATCGGTAACAGTCGCATACTTTCCACACTCACGGGGCTTTGGCTCCCATTGGCTTTCAGGAACGCCATGGTAATATTCCATGTTCGACTGTCCATGAACCTTGGCATGGTGTGTGTCCTTGTCTTCAGTGATTTCTTGAAGCCACAGCCAAGGTGTTAAATCACTTTATTGGGCTTACGTTTCGGCTAGTCGCCTTCGTCAGAGCCTGGAAGTTGAAGG